TAGATCGGGTGGGAGGCATTTCAAATATGGCCCCCCAAATGTCTTTTTGTACAACTGTCCGTCCACCAACTCGAACATGGAAGTCCTCCTCTGGATGCATTTTATCTGATAAGCGGGATATTTATCTTGTGGGAGGGTTCCGTCTTTTAGGTAATTGGTCATATCTATGACCCAACTGGGATGGCATAAGATATGGCCTCGATCTGGAGCACCACGATTGCCGGGGTTGCCAATGTTTCCCGATGGGCAAACCGTTGAATATGAGCTGGAATCTCCTGTGCCCGATCGTCGAGCGCTGCATTTTCCAATTTGGATAAGATGTCTGCTTCGGTATTTTCTATTCTGGATATTTGGTCAAGCACCACCTGTTCAAATTTGTTTATCTGCTCCTCGACTATCTCTTTGTAAGCCTTCATTCTTTCCTCTTTAGCTTCAGCTGTGCCATTTACTTGACTTACCACCAATTGACTATCCGACCGGACTTTTAACCGATTGGCGCCCAGGGTCTTCTCATATTTTAAACCCGCAATAAGGGCCTCATACTCAGCCTCATTGTTGGTTACTTTGAAGTCAAAATGAATGGAGTAATATGCTTTGAACCCTTCGGGCGATGTGATCACAGCTCTGGCTCCACAACCCTTGGCACTAGCTGCACCATCCACATACATTTCCCACCAGTTATCCAGCACATTGTTTTCTGAATCTATTTCCGAGGGCCGAGCGGTACATTCTGCAATGAAATCCGCCAGGGCCTGCCCTTTGATAGTAGGTCTAGGTTTGAAATCCACCTCATATTTCCCGATCAGGAGACTCCACTTTGTAATGCGCCCACTTGCCATTGGGTTTCTCAAGATGGTGGCGAGTGGCTGAGTAGTATACACAGTTATCGGATGGGTTTGAAAATATGGTGCTAGACGTTTAATAGCAGCTATCAGGGCCAGTACTGTTTTTTCTAGCAAGGTGTACCTGGTTTCCGGGCCGTTCAAAGCCTTGCTTACAAAATAGATCGGCCGCTGGATGCCATCTTCTTCTTTCAATAATACCGTGCTCACGGCCAGGTCAGCTACAACAAGGTACATATACAGGTGTTCCCCTGGATCGGGTTTTGTCAAGACCAGGGGAGAAGATAGATATGCCTTGAAATCTTCAAAAGTCGTTCGACATTCGGCGGTCCATTCAAAGGGGTTGGCTTTTTTCATGATCTGGAAGAACGGAATAGCTCGATCGGCTAGCTTGGATAGGAATCTGCTCAGAGCTGCTAACCGACTGGTCAATCTCTGCACTTCCTTAAGGTTTCTAGGAGCCTCCATATCCACAATTGCCTTTACCTTTTCAGGATTGGGCTCAATCCCCTTCTCGCTCATCATGTATCCCAAAAACTTGCCCCCTCTCACAGCAAAAGCACATTTTTTGGGATTCAGCCTCATGTTAGCTTTCTGCATTATCCCGAATACCTTTTCTATGTCCAGGATATGATTCTCCTTCTTCCGGCTTTTGATCAGGATATCATCAACATAAGCCTCCATTGTGACTCCCAACACTTCTTTGAAAAGCATCCCGATCATCCTCTGAAAAGTTGTCATTGCGTTCTTTAACCCGAATGGCATGACAATATAGCAAAACACACCATCCGAAGTAACGAATGTTGTTTTCTCTACATCATCTGGGTGCATGAAAATCTGATGATATCCCCGGAATGCATCCATGAAGCTCAACAGTTCACACCCGACCGTTTCATCCACTAACAGATCGATCCTCGGCACTGGATAAGGGTCCATGGGACAAGCTTTATTCAAATCCAAGTAATCCACGCACATCCTCCAAGTAGATTGTTTTGGAGCTAGGACCACATTGGATAGCCATTCGACGTGGATTACTGGACGGATGTGTTTTATTCTCAGCAAGGTGGCCACTTCCTGCTTTGTGAAATCCCACAGACGGAGCCAATGTGGAAGGTAAGTCCCGTAGATCCGAAAGCCCAACACGAACTTTGGATATATCAGGAATGAACCAGAATCAAAGTGTATAACAAAATATAAAAGATGAATCCATTAATACCCAAAAGCCCACTTGTATTAATTAACCTGTCTGATTACAAGGAAACTTCCCGATCGGTAGGTCGGAACAGTGCTTTAATACAGGAAACAAGAGTAATAATGCTATTCTAGAGCTTGAGTATTGAAATGCTAACCCTTACAATGATATTAAACCTTCTATTTATACTAATGGAGAGCATGGGCTGCTCTATGTTGATTGGCCGTTGTTCCACCGACTTGAATCACCCATGTTTCCACTTGCTGATGTCACAATCTGGCATTAATTGCACCTGGCCACTTGCTGATATCCCGTTGCTCGAACGGGATGCTCGACCATGCGGATGACGCTGTCAAATAGGCCCAAGTATGATATATGGTCCGAACTCCGTTCGGTATATCTTCTTTCTGGGCCGGTCTTTACTCGGACCGAACCCCGTTCGGTATGGATTCTTCACTCGATCTACTCATCATAGGGTAATGGACTCATTGTTTGGGCCGGGTATTCTGGGCCTTTTTAATCCGGGTATTGGGCCTCCGGGTCAATATCCCAACACTTAGGCATCATCAATCATTAATAATCCACAAAACACATTTAATTATTTTGGGTAATCTCATGAAATTAATTCACTAATTATAAACAAGATAATTCACTAATTCACTAATCATTAATAATCCACAGAACACATGTTTCCTATTATAGAATATTTGACATAATAGAATGTTATATTACTTGAGTATAAATACTTTTAAACTGATAAGGCTAAAAAAATAAATTTCTCATACATTAATAAATTAATGTAGTCAAAGTAGAGCATGTGACTATTATAACACTCTATATTGTTCTTATTTTGTTCATATATTAGAATTCATTCATTTATTTATGCCGAATAAGTTGTGTCGAGGTTTGATGAAACTATTCTTTTCTTATATATAGATAGATAAATAGTTGAATTTATTGAATCACATATATTGGATATCTTCTTCATTTGGAATGTTATTTAGGTTAGTTTGGTAACACTGAAATTGCTTGAATCTACCGAAGTTGATGACGTTTTTGCTCAATTTCCTTAATTACGAAGAAATTGTATTTTAAAATATATGTCACAAATATTTATTTCAGAGGTTTTTTCTTAGTGTCACTTCGATATATTAGGAATTTTTATTTATTTAATACGGAATGCTATGTATTCAGGTCGAAAAATAGAAAGGTTGTCTAATAAATCTTCAGTTTTTTTTTGTAATTTTTCATATGCATTATTGGTGTCAAATGAAAGATCGTAAAAAAATATGAATTTTGATGCATTTTTATAAAAATTAGAGAAAAAATGAAAAAGTTATACAACTTTGAAGAAAATGGTATTTTTTTTAATACAATGGGTCCCATGAATTGATGCCACATTATTTTACAAGCTTAGCTTCAATTGTGTTTACAAATGCTTTGCTTCAATTGTGTTCAATATAAGTCCTTGAGGTCAGGGGCGAATCTAGCATTGTCAATCAGGTGGGGCCAAAATTTGATTAAACAACGTATATTGCAAAAAAAATTCAAAACGTAGTAAAATAGTACTCCCTCCACCCCTTAAATGTTTGTCAAGTTTGACCGACACACAGAATAATAAAGTAAAAACTGTGTGGTAGAGATTTGTACAAATGAGAGAGAAATAACAGGAAGCACAAATTGATTGATTAAAATGGAAAGGGGCAAAGGTTTTGAGACAATAAAAAAAGGAAAGTTAGCAAAGTTATGAGGATGGACGGAGTATGTTATTTAACAAAATTTATTTTCAAATATAAAATAAAATCTTTTGCAACATAAATGTCAAAGACAAAAATAAATATAACAGGAATAAGATTTTTTTCCGAATACAAAAAAGCCTCAAACGCATACGTATTAAACTAATACTCACCTACCAAGCCCAATGAATTGAACAAATTAATTATTCAGACTAATACTCAAAAGCCCAAGAACGTTCACAATATTAGCATCTAGCTCATTCACCGTTTGAGATTGGTGTTAAACTTGTACTCCCTCTGTCCCTTATAACTTTACCAACTTTCCTTTTTTGGATGTCTCATTAACTTTGCCACTTTTCTTTTTAAGTAAAGAATTTGTGGTTTCAGTTAATTCTCTCTCCTCTGCACAAAACTCAATCACTCCGTTTTTACTTTATTAATCCCCGTGCCGATCAAACTTGGCAAAATTATTAGGGACGGAGTGAGTATTAATTAAACTTAGGAGACCAAGTTTAAATTTATACTAGGTATGTTTGAAAGAAGAATCCTTATATTCTTCTAGTGTGAGACAAGAGTTTTTAGAAGTAAAAAAACTGAAATGTTTACACAATTCCAAATTAAAAAGATGTGTTGCACCTGGGATTCGAACAAATGACATGTAGGTCAGCACGGCAGTACACTTCCATCTAGCTAACACGGAAAATACGTTCATTTTGACTTTCTTTGTACTTATACCATTATTTAAGAACTATAATACATATATATACTAGTAATTTTTTTTTTGAGGTGGGGCCTAGGCCCTCCCTGGCCCAGAGCCAGATCCGCCCCTGCTTGAGGTTGACACATGACATTTGTAGAGCTATTTATTTTCTTATATTAGAAATAGACTTAATATCAAAAATAGACCCTCATTATCAGAACAATACCAATTTAGTTTTTGGACTATTAATTTGGTTACCTTTGATCTTCGATTTTAACTTCATCACCAAGTTTAGTCGTATCTACACCTTTGGAAGACAAAAACATGATCAACTTTCATTTTTTTTAAATGTGAATAAACTTTATTTGTTTAATATAATTTTCTTTTAATTCTAACTCCTATCCATGCATACAAGTTATACAAAACTTTATGTTAGGATATATTTCCCATCGTGTACAAGTTTGTCCTATCTATTTGTTATACTCACGATAGGAATTATGTGAAAGTTTTGTACAAGTTTTACAAGAAACTTGTAGTATAATACTGCATCGTAACCGTTTTCATAAAAAAAAATCATTGCCATCATGCCATGCATACAAGTTTTTGCACAAAAAACATAACAACCATATAGCATAAGTGCTTAGCATAACCATTTATACTGCATCTAGTATAAATGCTTAACATAACACAAGTTAGGACTACCTTCCATTCAAAAGAAATGCTTAACATAACACAAGTTAGGACTACCTTCCATTCAACAACTTGGAAAGATAATTTTTACTTTAGTAGATGCACGCGGAAAACACAACACTTCGTCCATGTTCTCATGTTTCTTGCAGCTGTCATACTCATACATATAATTACCCATAAAGATAACCCTTTCTAGAGAGGGAACACTTGCCAGCATCTCCTTAATGAAAAGCATTTCGGCCCTAAATCCACGGAATGAGCGAATTTTCAAAATGTGAAGCCTTTCGCATGTTTGAACAACACTGTGAAGCTTTTTCAATTGCTTTGATGTAGTATCTATAGCCTTAGTGGTATCCTCTGTCCCCTAAATAATGCAAAAAAACAAAGGAACAAATCAAAGGTTTAGCATTATATTCCACAGATAAAATAGTATGTATGAACTTCATACTATTGGTTGCCAAATATAAGGTTCAGCATTATATTTTTTTGAGGGGGCTATGCCCCCTGGGCCTCTAAGAAGATCTGCCCATGGTATAAAGATACGCAGAAGAACATGGAAACAACCAAAACTTTATTAAATATTTGTATATCAAACTGAAGTGATATATTTATTACCCAAACACTTATTTCAAGTTCGTATAACTTTGGGCATATGCATAGCAAGCTTAGAAATGCAGAGGTCTCAACATCCCTTTGCAAACAAAGTCCTGATAGCTTCAACAATTCCACATTTAGCACATTCAGCTGAAGTTGATGCCCCGTTGTAGCACTTGTGCCAAGAAAAGTCTGCCATATGGAATTGAAGTCACATCAGTTCAATGTATTCTATATTAGGTTATAAATAGATCGCATTCAAGAAAAAAAGTCTAGCAAAAATACCTCGACATAATAACTGTCCAACTCAAGAGTACAGATAGATTTTAAGTCCATGTTGAGGCTGAGTTCACTACGATAGCAACTTTTGATTGTCAAACAGCAAAGTTTTCTGGCTATAATTTTGAAGTGTAAAATATTTTTGCAACTCCTAAATGACAGAATCTCCAGCATTGGAACATCAACAACATAATTAGAAAGATTTGAACGACCAAAGTCAACATATTTGAAACACAGAGATGTGAGATTAGGCGGCAATGTGCAAGGCAGATTCAATGGTTCAAAGGAGAAATCATGAAGATGCAAGCTCTTCAGTGTTGGACACAAAAAGATGCAACTGGGCAGCTTGTATGCTTTATCCTCAAAATTAAGGTGGAGCTCTTCAACACCTTTAAACGTCACTAAATGTAACCACTGATCAAAGTCAAAGGACCGAGACCTCAGAGTAAGTACCCCAGCATGAGATAAATGAATGACACATTTCCGAATAGTTCCCTTATGCTGCAAGAGAATTTTGGTGATTACATACAACCCAGAAGATTTCCTGACATATTTGCTGTCCTGCCTATATTTTTTGTCAAAATACGCAAAGAATTGATAATCAAAGCGAAGCTGACTGAGAGTGGTCCAGAGATCTCTCCAAACCGTAGACAAAACTGCAATTTTAGCAGCTTGCTGGATACGCAATAGTCCCAAAATATGGTCAAGTATTTCTTCCGGCAGCTGGCTGATTCTATCTCTTCTTGCCATAAGAACTTAGATAGCTTTAATTTCCTGCTTCAGCATAATCAAATTAAAAAAATTGAATTAGAACTAACCCATAACCCTAAAACTTGACGATGTAATGTAAAGTAGACATATTAAAATCGACCCAAGTTTAGAAGACGATTGATCGTCGGCAGGATATGAACTGCCATGCTATTAATTATGCGGAAGGATTGAGCAACCAGCCTTGGGCGTGTGCATTTTGAATTTATGATATTGGAATGGAATTGGAATGAGTTTAGCCCAACTCCAAAAGCCGATTTTGGAAAATCAGAAAGTGACTAACCTCTCACTACGGTGCCGAGCCACAGAGCACCCGGGTGTACGTCAATCAGTATTTGAATTCGTACGAGACATTCGAAAATTCAAATACAAATACAAATAAGAATGTTAAATTTGATTCGAGTTGTTATCAAATACAAATAAGAATATCAGTGTATTCGATTCGAATATTAACCAAATATATTCGATTAATAATAATGACAATATTGATATCAATATTAATAATAATAGTAATAAAACTATAATAACTTTTAAAAGATAGCAATACCCTCAAAGTGTAGCCCCTATATACACGTTTGCATACAGATTTCAAGCCCATTTTTATTAAATCAGAATACAAATACGAATACAAATCAAATTTTTGGTTCAAATGTCTTTCAAACCCAATACAAATAAGGGGTAATTTGAGTTTGCACCTCATTTTATTATCTAAATTAGACTTTACACCCTGTTTTAATTTATGATGAATATTTAATGTGTTATTGTTTTATTTTTCTAATTTTGATTTAACATGAATATTTATTAGTTTATTAAATATTATGTGCTAATTACTAACATGAGTTTTGTGTTATACTGAAATGAGGAAGGTGTAAAAAAATATGCATGGATAAACATTATAAAAAGAACCCGATTATATTTGTAATTCCAGAATGAAAAACTATAAGTTATTTTTTAATATAAAATTACGATTTTTCATTACTATATTTGTCATTATATATTGTTGAGGTTTAGTCCTGTAAATCCGAAAGCCCAACACACGCTTTGGATATTAAGGACGTGGAAAATAGATCGAGGGTAAAAGAAAATATAAAAGCTGAAATATATTGTACTCGAAAGCCCACTTGTATTAAGTAATTCGTTAATTACACGGAAACTTCCCGAACGACAAGTCGGAACAGGAACTAATACAAGGACAAGAGTGAGAAAGCTATTCTATGCCTTGAGTATCAAAATGCTAACCCGTTACAATGTAATTAATACCCCTATTTATACTAAAAAGGGGTAGGTGGGGAGGTATGGGGTGCTCCATGCTGATTGGTTGCTAATCCAGCCGCTTGAACGCCCATGCTTCCACTTGCTGACGCCATACTCTAGCATTTAATGCACTTTGCCACTTGCAGGCTACCCGTTCGGGCATCGGAATGACGGTCTTGTCTGGTGTCCCGTCAATCTGCCTCAAGTATATCATGTGAGCCGTTCCCCGTTCGCGACCCGAGTGAACTATTATGGATCCTCGGTTCCCGTTCGGGTTAAATCTCTTCCTGGGCCTGTTCTCCCTAGTGGTCTTTGGGCCAGGTATTGGGCCTTCGGTCCAATATCCCAACATATATAGGTGCACAAATGAATATTTATACACATTAGAGAATTCAAACGAGCTTTTGATTTTTTCGATACTCAATTTGTAAGTTATGTATGTTCACCTGTACTAGTTTTAAGCTCTTTTGAAAATGTCATATTAATCCATATTTCAAAAGTATCATATTAGATTCGTATTAGAGATTATATACATGGGACCAAAGACCATGGTACACAATTGCATGCTTCTGATACTCAATAGAAAATGTTTAATGTTCAATGAAAATGTCTTGATGCTTAACTAACAAAGCTTATTATTTTAATATCATTGCTCATTTGGTACTTGTGTTATGCTCATTTTAAAATGTTATATCAATGCATATTTCAGAAGTATCATATTACATTAGATTGACGTAAAAAAATGATTATAGATACTAGAGCACACATACCATGATACTCAATTGTAGAGTTCCAATATTCAATAGAGGAAAGTTGATACTCAATGAAAATGTCTTGATGCATGATGCTCAATCAAATGTCTTAAAAATAGGTTAGATGTTCAATAGAGCATCTGACCTATTTTATTGAGTATTAGGTGGCTAACAATGAGCATCAAACATCTGCTATTGAGATGAAAATCACGGTTTCTGGTGAATAGGCATTAATGAACTTTTAAAGAGCATCGACCAATTATGTTGAATATTAGGAGTCTAATATTCAGAATCGTGAACTCTGCTCTATAACTTCTAATTCACTTTCTTTTTGTTAGTTTTCTTTCATAAAAACTTATTGAATTATATTTATAATCAACTCTATGAATTTCAATATGTGAATCTAATGTAAAATAGTACTTTAAAAATGCATTGATATAACACTAAGAAAATGAGCATAAGATCACTACCAGATGAGCATACGTAACTTACGAAATGTTCATTGATATGAAAATCGTAAGGTTTGTTAGGTTGACGTAACGACATTTTCATTGAACATCAAACCTCCTCTATTGAGATGAAAATCATTGTTTCTGTTAAATGAGCATTAATGAACTTTTAATGTGCATCATACGTATTATGAGCATTAAAACAATTTTAATGATCATCAGACTTATTCGGTTGAGTAATGTGAATCTAATGTCATATGCAACTTTTAAAATTTGCATGAATAAGACAGTTTAAAAATGAGCACAATGTGAGTACAAATTGAACAAACGTAACTTACAAAATGAGTATTGATACGAAAATCATAAATTTTTTAGTTGAACTTCAAGATAGATTTATCGAGTATCAAAACTCCTCTATTGAGTATTTGAAACATGCATTTGAGTATTATGGTATGTGCTCCTCTATCTATAATCGACTCCTAGATGAATCTAAAAAATAAATTGAAACATTCAATAATATTTATATTATACATTTTCATAATAATTGAATATATATAACATTAAATTAGTAGAAGGCTGCTAAAGAAAAGAAGAACAAGCAAACAAAAAAAGGAATAAAGTCAATAAATAAAAGAAACGAAACGAAGCAGCGGATCAATACAAAAAAGAGAAGTAAGGATTAGCTGCTAAAAAGGGGAATAAAAAAAAAGAAAAGAAACGAAGCAGCGGATGAACACAAAAAAAGAGAAGTAAGGATGAGCTGCCGAAAAAATGGGAATAAAAAAAGAAAAGAAACAAAGCAACGGCCAACGGCGAAATACAGAAAAGAGAAGGATGAGCGTGAGTGGAGCAGGGGAAGGAAGAAACTCAATCTACTAATTACAAAAAAAATCGGGTGTACCATATAAATTGTACACGAGTGTACCATATAAATTCTCCGCCAACAGATTTGAGGTCCTTAATCAGCATGGCTAAAAACATTTAAACAAAGAATCACATGCGATAAAAATAGATTAAGGACTACATAGTAATTTTTTTCAAAGATTTTTTTTTGAATTATTCATTTTTTTTTTCTCTAATCTTAACCTAACTGCTGCCGCGCTGTTTCCACTGCTCAAATCTTTTTCCTGATTTTTTGAAAATAAAATCAACATGAAAAAATCCAGTGACATTTGTAGCAATGTCACGGTGACATAGTCATAGTCACATACTCCCTGCATCTAATGTTCGTATTGGTCCTGTTTGTATCTATTTTTATCGCACGTTCCGGTCCGGTCCAATATTTTGTCGAATCCGTACTCGTACAGTGACTATTGAAACAGTTCGGTTTGGTTCGGTCCGGTCTTAAACCGAAACCCGTTCGATACAATTCCACTTCAAACGGGACGGTACCATGACATACCAATACCAAACAATGTCATTTTTTCCAACTATTTAGGGAGAAATTAATGTTTAGCCATAATACCACGCAATTTATCAATTTTCATGTTACAGAATTAATAATTTTCAGGTAAACTATAGTAATACAAATTTAAATAATTAAATCATACTTCTGTCCCTTTCCTAGCTTCCAGCGAACTAGCAAAGACTGTGAAAGTGCGAATGCACTGATCAAAGTAATGGTATACATGAGCATTTAAATAATTTAACCATACTTCGGTCTAGTTTGGTCCAACATCAGTTCTCATTTTATGAGATTCGGTCATGGCATTGTTTGGAACCGGTCCGATTCGGGACAAAATTTTGAGATCCGTTTCAAACACCGTTTTTCGGTCCGGTACCATACCATTCACGTCTGGTACCATACCATTCAGGTCTGGTACCATTCCATCAACGTTTGTATTTTTTCTCACCCCTAGTTTGTATTTCTACGTTTTGAGCATAAGCGCTTCATTTTACCGCGTTTGCTTTCGAGAGAGAAAAACGACGTTTCTACCCAAGCATTAAAAAAAGGCACCTGTTATCTTTTCTTGGTCAATGATGATTAAGTTCAACCAATTACATATGTTATAATTTATTTAAAACATGAAAATTATATAAAAATATTCTCGGTTCAAAAAGCGTAAAAGTTTTAAGTTTCACATAAATATGATAACAAAATTATTGTACAAAACTTAATATGTTTGACTAAAAAAAGTCAAATTGATCAAGTTTTATGAGATGGGGGAGTAACGAACAGTGACATTTGTAATTTTTTAATTTTATTGTCTTGTAAGTCAAAATATTTATCTATGTGTAAAAGTTGTCACATTTTTTGGAAATTGAACTTGAATTTAGTAATGGTTTAAGAAAAAGTCTAGCTAGTGGTATCTTAATTTATTATTGCACTTGAGGGAATATTCTAGCTAGTTTGGCTGACCTGGTGTATATGTATATAAATCAATCTATGCATAGTAATGCATGTACATGGTAATTTATGGTATTTATTTGCTATGTTGTAAGAAACGGATCCCAGAAGCGACCCGGTCGAATGAACGGGTAAGGTCAACCTCGACCCGACGGGTCAACCCGGTCAATATAGAAATTAATTTTTTATTCTAAAATATACAAGTTTTAACAAATTATAAAATGTATTTTATATTAAACTGACAATAAATACAAGTATGATGCTTATTAAAAAATGAAATGTTATACAAATATGATGCTTATATACGTGTCCTATTCCCTAAGCGATTGTCTGGGATTTGTGGCCGAGGTGACACCACTCAGGTGTTGAGACCGAGGTGACTTGTACAGACAGGGAGTCCGTTTCTTCATTCTGGACTCGGCTTATTTGATGGACTCCTAGTAATTTCATGGGCTTGCGCTGTTGTTTATCCAAGAGTGTG